GTGTTGGCACAGTTGTCCTAGGGTTCTGCTCGAGGGCACTCTTTGTCTTATTCACGAATTCCGTTGAGCAACGAATTTACCACGCATTGCTTCAGGCAGGAGTTGCGCAGTACCGTTATTCGGTAGGACAACGAACTCACAACCGATAGATCCCGAGTTTCTAACCTCGGTCAAGGGTCTCTCGCCCTTCCTGATTCAGACCTTAATAAACCAGTACAAATCTGTCGGAAGGAAACAGGAGATAACACGCTACGCTTACCACATGACTGTAGACTCGTCCTTAAAAATATGAGGCACTTCTAGTTGATGGCATAGAAACGGAGGGCAGCACCCCTGATCTGCTTCATGAAAGGAATGACGCCAAAATGGCTGTCATGAAAGTGTAAGCTAGACGGACGTTCCAGCGGACCTTTTCTTTCCTTCATGATTCTTAATGCTTTTTGGCTCTCGACCACCTGCTTTGTTGAATCGCTTGTGTTCCGTAACGGTTACCGACAGTGACTGTGAGGTGTGATCAGTGTATCGTAGACTGCAAGTCAGGCAGTTGATTTGGTACGGCACATTTATTTAGTCACTTACCTACGTTATTTATCACGGTCACTTAAGTTGCTTTTTGATTTTAAAGCAATTAAGATATTCAGGAGGTTCATAATCTGCCTATGGATTCAGAAGAGACTAGCGACGTAAGACTTACAGCACGTTTTTTTCAGAAACCCCTTCAGATACTAAGGACTTGTGACCATCTTAGACGAGTTTATGGTCTTTGTTGCGTTTCGTTGACTAATCGGTTTTGATGTGTTTTTCAGGATGACTACAAATGCACGCACAAACTAAGAGTTCAGCAAAACAGTGCTTGAAGTCTGTAGACACTTCATCACTTTATATTGGCAGTTAGTTTCGTTTCGAAGACCGACTTTCGCAGTATTTTCATCAGTGTTGGTGATGTGTTCTTTGTAGCCGTGTGATCGTTGTGCTGTTCATCGTTCGTTCTGTTCTGTTTATACTTTACTTTGTTTTGCAGCCCCGTGATCGCGACTACGGCTTCGAGCGCAGTGTCAAATGGCGTGGCGCTTGACAACAAAATCGAGCAGGCCATGGTATGTTGCTTGTAAAGTTAGACGTTAATTTTTCTGTGGAAGTGCTTGAAATCTCGTTCCTCAAGTCTGACGTTGTGTTATATCATTTTCAGTTCAGCAAATTCGCTTTTATCCGTCTTGCCGCATCATGTCCCCTGGCGCATTCGTAATTTTATAGCATTCAGCCATGTGCAGCGCTGTTTTTCGACTAGGTTTGTTTGTCGATAAACTTCATGCTTCATGTGTGTGTGTGTGTGTGTGTGTGTGTGTGTGTGGCCGATGATTTTCATAGCGCACTGTTCTCTGTAGTTTTTACGGTTCTTACGTCATATCTGTCTGTTTGAATGGCATTTTGCATTAGAAACTTTTCGGGATATTTTTCACTCGCCATCAATGTACAGTGGTTGAATTGGCCGTTTTAGTCTACTGCACATACACCAGCAACCACACCGGTCAGTCATAGTATATCGCCAGCTTCGCGTTACGTGTTTCATGCCGTAGCGCACGTTTGCGTTTGCCTTACTGCGATGCCAAGGTTTTATTCAATCACTCGAAAATTCATACAGTTGAACATTGTATTGATGCACCTCAGCGGTCTGAAAATCCCACCCTTGTTTTATCCCTTATGCGGACATCCTTTCCGTGATGAATTCGGTCGTTTTGCTAACATCTGAACGACTGTTTCTTCAATCGTAGTACTCACTGTGCTCAGCGTTCAGCAAATGTTTTTCCTCGATCGTTCTGGAAGCATTTGCAGAAACAATTTTAACATGCACGCTACTACTGTAATTACATTTTGTTCTTCCTTCTACCATTATATTATGATAATAAGTTAGGTGCACTGGCTTTATTACTTGAATGTGTAATTCGGTCGAATACAAAATCGCATCTACGCTGTGAAATATTTCGGCACCACGTAAACTGAAAACAGTGGGAAAATGCAGATCGATGCATACATCACCATCCTGAACACTAGTAATGTTCTTACTTCTGAAGTACGACTTGAAATATTCTCCCTACCAGACTTCGCCTCGAATCGAGTAAACTTCCTCCAGCAACGTCATCCGTCAAAAGCCTGTTGGACGTTTCATCATGTACTCTAATGACGGCGAATGAATTGCTGAAGGCAGAGGCTTTAAGCAGAAAAAACTCTCAGAAAAGTCATGCAACTAACGGCTTGTCGGCTTGACAAGAAAAGGCCCAAAAGAAACTTAAATTGGATCCTAAACTTGGTGCACGCGCCTTCCAACCGACGCATCTCCCGACAGCACGTAATAGCAGCGATTCTTTTAACGAACCAGATTAAAGCGAACCTAATTCTGTTCTTTTAACTTTGTTTCTCAGTTGCCACGTGATCAACAATAAGTCACCTTTCTACTTATTTCAGTATAGTCCGCAAAGTGCGCACCTCACACCATTTTGTTGATTTGAAACGAAACATTTTCACCGGTGATTTTATCGGTAACTGAACATTGAGAATCGTTTTTATTCTCCGTTTCGACATTTTTTGACGCTGCATAACTCGATTTTATCACAGATCTGTATTCGTACGTGTATTATTCTCATGTACACTTCTGATTATTCGTTAATTTTTATTCTTTACATGTAAATCCAGTTGCTTCTTTGTTTTAGTTCAACGATTTTTGAGGCATGAGTTCTAACGATTGTTTTCCTCCTAATCGGACTTTCATATGCGCATGCAGTTTGTTTTCCAAGTCTACGTAACAGCGTACGGTATTGCAACCAGCAAGTTCTGCGCGTGAATAATCAGTCATTCAGTCACGTGCGATGTAAGCTTCTTCTCTCCCGTCGCGTCGGCAGACGAGTCAGACACTATTCTCCAACGTTACCCATCCTAGCCAACGTTTAAGCTTCACCAGAAGACAGTCGGAGTCTAGAGCAGACTCCTTCGTTACACTTGCACAAGGTTAATCTTGTCCGTCTCCCGGGTTTTCGGTCGGTGAGTTTGGCAAGTAATGGCTCTTTCGCCTGCCTCTCTGGAGACATTCGTAAGATGTGCCCAAATCAGCGCAGTTGTGATTTCTCAATTTGCAGAACCAGTGGTTGTTGACCACCCAGGCTCTCGAATATCGGTACTCCGGGTCATATTGTGTCACGTCAGGTCAGCGACTCATCTCAGAAAGCCCATTTCAGCAGCTTGTACTCGAATTCGAAGCTTTTCAGTCATGGTCCACGACTCATGACCGTAGGTAAGCATGGGGATAGAGATCGACTTGAATACCGAGACTCAGGCGTCAGACTCAACCCTGTTTTAGTCACAGTGGTTTGCGCCAGTTCATGCAGAACGCCAATGGCTACTACAATACACCGGTCGATCTCTTCCTCCCGTTTTCCATCATCGGTAAACACGACCCAGGGGTACTTGAACTTCTCTACTTGTTCTACTGCTTATTCGTTTATTTGAAATGAGCAGTTGGTAGGAGAACGAGAAGGCATTAGACGTTTTGTTTTAGGTACATTCACACGCATGCGAGTCACTACCTGCGAACCTTTCCAAAGAGCGTTGTGAATCAGTTTCAGGCGATGCCATCAAAACAAGGTCGTCTGCAAACAGCAAGCTTCTCGTCTCCATATCTACTACGCTGAAACCCTCTTCGCCTTGGCTGCTCCTGACTATTCTCTACATGAATAGGACAAACAGGAGAGGACAGGACGCAGCCTTGGTGGAGACCAGTGCCAACGCCAAAAGACCTCGACTTAACGCCATTTACTTTGATGTAGCACCTGCTATCAGAATATAGTGATTGGATGGCCCTTAGCAAATGGCCATCGATTCCAGTTGTCCGCGGACATGCCAATAGATTGTTGCACGGGATTTAATCGTAGGCTTCCACTTGATCCAGAAATTACATATGAACCAGATGGTCTCTTAGCAGTCTGGCCTAAGGCAATTTTTCAGTCAGGGGTGCTTCCGCCTCATCTGAGATAATATTGCTGTTCTTGTATGTTAAAGTCAGCTGTTACCCAGCACTTTTCCCCCATCACTTTTGCAAGGACTTCCCGGGAGGTTCAGTCAGCTACTGCTCCGATAATTGCAGCAGTCGCTGTGGTACGATCGCCGCTG